CAGGTCGCGCTAAGTCTCGCTGCAGAGTCCCTGTTCTATAGAACAGCAGTGAGCTGCTGCTGACAGACAAGCCACTGTGCTCTGAATGCCGAAGGACTGAATAGCTGGGAGGAAAAAAAAAGTCCCTCTTTGTGACTCTCCGTACAGCTCTCATTAATTGATTTATTCTTTTTCTCAGTCTGCCTGTTGCCTGTTTCACATCACACATTCCTGAGCGAACTAGAACTGGAAACGGAACTCTAACCGAGCACTGTAATGTCACCGCTGCATAATGAAGTTCATTCAAGCAATCTTCTGCAGCACGGACTGCGTTGTGCGATGGGCTCCCTCTGCAGTCCTGCAGAAGCCTCCTTAATTGTGTTGATTACTATGTAAACAGGAGTGCTGTAGTTCTCCCATAAAAGGTTCAGCCCAACATAGGATCTATAGACTGTTGGAAACACGCCACTCAAGGGGAAAGACCTTTAGACTGAAGACTACGAAAACAAACCATGGGAGTAACAGTAAACATTACAGCACCATCAGCTGCAGTGTAGTGTTCTGCTTACCACCAATGACATGATAAAGCAACATAATGTAGTATTTGTACTGTGTGTGGTGATTAATTCATGGTCCAAGGTATACTATAATAAACTGTAGCAGGGTGATATATATACCCTGCATCTCACAACTGGGAGCTCACTGAAGCTAAGCAAGTGTGAACCAGTACCTGCAGCTGCCTGTACCTGGATCGGAGGCCTCCTGGGAAAGCTAAGGTTGCTGCTGGGAGAGAAATGTTAAAGTATAAGAATAAGGCATCACACCAGGAGCCTTCATCAACATCAACATCAGAGCTTTGCAAGATAGCCTCTGGCAGAGCTTCAGACAGGCATATACGGGCCGGGCAGGCAATTAACGAATTAGTGTCAGAGCTACTCACATGTTTTGGCACCCACTGGAATGCAAGACCCTAGCTGGCAGAATTCTGAATCTGCTTCTCAGATTTTCAGTTAACGAGGGTTTGCGTTTTTAAAGAGCCGATCCATTATCGGGTGACAATGCAGTCTAACAACTTTCCACGATTCCAGCGCTGTATTGTTCAATCAGGCACAAAAGTCACCGACCCGAATTAAAAAAGACTTCGAGCGCCCCCTGGTGAACAATGCAACCATTGCACAAAGCAAAGTTATTTCATTTCGCCTTCATTTAATATTTTAACAAATTCAACGCATTATTCAACGCATTATTCAGTTATTTTGGTACAACCGGTTGCTGGTACAATGCACGTAGATCCACATATAGATTTTTTAAATTAAGTTTATTATTTCTATGTATCTATGTATCCCTTATGCAGTTGTCTGCATTTTAAGCGTGGCGGCAATAGACTGTGATTTACTCATTTAAAATTGAGATGTATCTTCTGAAAAACGGATATTTGCAGAACATTTGTAGATGGTATTGACTACAAGCACTCGGAGTAATAACAATAGCTGCATTACTGTTCTAGTTGTGCCACAAGATGTCGCTTAGTATACTTTAACTAATGTTGGTTGCCGCTGAGGAACAATGTGCTATTTCGATATTGTATCTATTTGTATGAGAATAATTTATTTTGTCTTCACGGAAAACAAAGCTTTAATATTTTTTTTTATTTTGTCCAATATTATAATAGACATGTCACCTTGTAGGCTATACATTTCTGCGTTGAAAGCATGTTTAATGCATGAGTAGTGTCATTTCTAATTTTCATTCTCAATTCATGCATAAACAGAAATGATCTCTTAACACATTGCTGATTTTAAATATGTAAAATGCTTTGTTCCCGGAAGAGGTCTCAGTTGCAGTACCAGTCCTGGGCTCTAGAGGGGGTGACACCGTGGGATAAGTGCGACAGGTGACTTCCAGCTCACCGGAAAGAGGTTAAAAAAATCTGATTGGTCTTTTCACTGAAACTGCTTATTCGTGACTTATCAGTTTAAATATTATAATTCCAAACTAAAGGGAGTTGTAATGTAATTCTCTGTCAGTAAGGATTGCAAAAAAATATACATGGGTTTCCTCTGGGTGCTCCACAGTCCAAAGACATACTGGGAGGTTAATTGGCTTCTGGGATAACTGGCCCTGGCAGAAGTGAGTGTGTGTGATGGACTGGTGTCCCATGCAGGGTATTCTCGGCCTTGTGTCCACTGCCTGCTGGGATAGGATCCGGCTCGCCCCTCCAACCCCGTACTGTGGCGAACACATTGAGCCATCCCCCTCGGACCACACCTACACCATCACCATCTACCTCATTATGATTTCTTATCTATTGCACATCTCCAGTCATTGTTTACACGTCTGTATTGTTTACATTCAAACTGTCTGCATGTTTACTTGCACATTGCCTGTTGTTTGTTTGTACATTGTCTTGATGCACTGTTTGCACTTTGTCTTGTTTTTTACACTTGTTTTACAATCGAGAGACTTTCTGTAAGTAAGAATTCCATTGTACCAGTACCGGTTACATATGGCAATAAAGTTCAAGTTCAAGTTACTGGATAAAGCAGTTAGAAGATGGATGGATGTAGTACTGTATATTATGGTACGTGTTATTTTCCAGCAGTCACTCTCAGCCAGGGATGTCAACAGTCCTGAGTTCACTTCGTATCTTCAATCGAATATACAGTAGTGTAAACTGGCCCCTCACACAGGGCCTATTTAAAAGCGGTATATTGGTGGGCAGCAACTTGAGCAGAGCTTCCACACTGCTGACATTAAGGGTGTGTTGAGACTAACTTAGAGCTTCCTCTGACCCCGTACACGTTCTGCATGAAGAACACCAGCTGATGCCTTCAAACAGATGTTTCAGCGTCCCTCAATACAGACGCAGCAAAAAGAGGAATTCCTTTATCCCACGATCCACACAACTTCTAAACACAGGAGCTCACGTCAAAGCAGCACTGGTTTCTGGGCAAGTGCAATCAGTGGTTGTGTGCTAAAATGAAGGGGTGTTGTGCAATTATAGGGGCTTAGAGTGACTGTAGGAAAGTATATTTACAGGTTTGGTAACCTGTATGGATTCCTGTATGAGTGGTGTGTAATGACTTTGTATGGGTGTTATGTTATTTTAATGTAATCTACTTACAGTATGTACTGTTTGTAAGTTTTTGTGTAAAACATAGTAGCTGCTTGGAGGAAGAACATTTCTGAAAAATCAGACAATGGACTATTATTGGATTGTAAGTGATTTTGTTGTTTAGAATCAAGGGTTCTTACTGATAGGTTTAATCACTGAGCCGTACCCCTTAATGAAAGACATAAGCTGGAGCACTGAATGTACCCCCTTACTGTAACAGAGAAACTTGACCTCCGAGTTGTACCCCCTTACTGAGAGAGAGAAGATCAACTACTGAGCTGTACTCCCTTACTGAGAGAGAAACCTGACCTCTGAGCTGTACCCCCTTACTGAGAGAGAAACCTGACCTCTGAGCTGTACCCCCTTACTGAGAGAGAAACCTGACCTCTGAGCTGTACCCCCTTACTGAGAGAGAAGTTCTAAGTGAGGTGGTCTAGCTCTTGGTTTGACAGCAGACCACAAGGTTCCAGCTTCAGGTTCATGTGCCCCCTTTAAAAATAGTGTTTTTTTTTATTATAATGTGTTTGCAATGAGCTATGGCATGCAAAACACTATATTGTACAAATGCAATTAAAAGGGAACAGGATCAACCAACAAAGGTTTGGAAATCCCTGTTCGGTGGGTAGGGATTGCCAGAAACCCACTGTGATGCGTCCTGGCATTAAGGAATTCCAGTCTTTCCTGCAGCCTGTCTGGGGCTGTCTCTCTGTTTTCATTTCTGTACAGTTCACCCCCGGAGACCTCCTGCTTTGTCAAAGCACAGGCCCTGTCTACACCTCTCAACTTGTCACAGTCACAGTCAAACGGAGGTCTCCTGAGAGCTCCAGCTAACAGACAAGCATGATGGGTAAAGTGGCCCCGTCTATCACTTGTAACTTCTCTAGTTAACTTGTCCCTTGAATCCTAGTACAGTAAGTCTGTGCACCGAGTCACTAGAGATTAACTGTTGCTTACACGTTCTTGCGTGTCTTAAGTTTGTTTGGTAACTATACAGTTCGGCACTGGTTTTGACTTTCATGGACTTACTTCTCTTTCCCACAATTTGTTTCCCATGCTTGCGTATGAAATACGAACGAGTGCCTCGCATATTTTGAGAACACCGGGCGAACAAGGACTTTCCTCATAATAGTCCAGCAGCCGGGAGGCTCTGGGGTGACGTTTGTGTTGGGTCAGAAGTGAAAACAGGTATCGCAAACTGGGTAAATAATGAGGTACAAAGAGAATATAACGAAACGTCCCCCCTGACGGCAGCCCTGAGACATTGTGTTTTAACCCACAGATACCGTTTTTACGCCAGAAGGGGGCCGCCTGGTTGAACAGAAGGACATAGAAAAAGACGGGGACTGATTATTTAAAAGAGTCTACATTCGCAACACAAAGTTGTGTAAGGATTTTTTAAAATATATATATTTTACCCGACGCAGCGTTGTCGTCCCCGTGTGTAGAGTTCACCGGTCCGCGGCAATGTGACCCCATGTATCTTGGGGTGCTCTTGGGGTGGGAAAGGTAACCGGCCCAGGACAGGAGTGTCCCCGGATTACGTGGACCACACGGCATCTTGAACTTTTCCTATACATAAACCATTTTATCGTGTTAACCATTTATTTGTTCTGTGTTTGTTGACTGAAAGGTAAAAAACAAACCAACTCAAACCACATCTGTGAAACTTACACAAGTTTACGCAGAGTGTGGTTGAAATTATATATTTGAAAGGGCATGTTGACACGAATGTGCACGTTATTTTGAAGTTTTTTTTTTCTTTTTGTGAATCATTTTTATTCGAAACTTTTTTTTTGTTCACTTTCCTCCAGCTGTGGGATACCTCCTTATTTCTTCACACAACATTACCTCTGCAAGCACTCTAGCGTGTGGAAAAACTGCTTTCCCTCACCAAGGTGTAACCAGGCAAAAGTCCCCCCACACGGCGATAGGGCATGCCAATAAAGCTGTCTGAATTTGAATTTGATAGGGGTAACACCATAAAATCTCGAAGAAAGTTGTGGGTTGCGATTAAAGAAGTGGCTCTTGACGGGAACTGAGAAGGGCCGGACTGCACACCTGACGCAACGTTTACAACGGGACGAAAAACAAACCCTGACTTGACAAGACGTTTCCTATAAAGCCAGCTTTTCTCTCCGTTCATTTTTTTCCCTGCTGGCGATGAGGAGGAGCTGTTGTTTACTCGTTCACGTCACCCTCTATCTCGTTCCCTTCTTCCTTCCTGCAACAGACGAGAGAGGGGGGACCCAGCGCTGAAGTACGAACTGTTTTCCCTCCCGCGACCGGCCGCTGAGGGGGGACCTGCCTCACGAACCCCGGGTCTGGGGGAGCGGGGGAGCCCGAGCACCGTGGGCGATTGCCGACTTGCACGGCCAAGAACGACAACAACAAGAAGATAAAAGATGAACGGACGGAAACAATGAAACGACACAAGCGGGCTGTTCGGATTTATTTTCGGGACGAAACCGCTTCGGATTCCGTTCATCCCTTCTTCTCCTCCCCAGCGTTTTGAAAAAAACAAAAAGGGGGGAGAGAGCGACCGTTAACGGGCGGCGGAGGTTCCGTCCAGAGTTCGGGGGTCCGGTCGGACTCCGACCTGCGCCTTCCCGTTCCCCTCCGCGGTAACGACAAAGACGAATTAGGTTAGTACCTCCGGCCAACATGTCCGTCTCTCTCCCTCTCTTTTCTTTCTTTCTTTCACTTCCACATTCCCTCATGCCACAAACAGATGGCGTCTGAGGTGAGGTGGGGAAGGGGGCGGGGGAATGGAGAGAAACAGCCGCAGAGGCGAGTGCAGCCCCGCAGTCGCCCGGCTCCGGCCACCCGTCAGCGGACTGAGCCCTGAGCCGGTGACCGGGGATCCGAGTCCCACGGGCAGAACAGCTCCAGCCGACTGGGGGGGGCAGGGCGGTAGTTGAGTAGCTCGAAGTTGGCCGTCTACCCCCCAAGTTTCGTGCGTGTGCGGCAGGGAAGTCCTGAAGAGTCCGGGAGAGTGTGAGACTACAGTAGCAGGAAGTGCGCAAAGTTGGTTGTTGTCTTGACGTGGTAAATGAGACAGCACCCGTCTGAGGAGGTACGGTACGACCCGTGCGTGGCTCTGTGAGCGATATCATGCTGGCAGCGTGGTGGTACGGCCCTGCATCCGATGTTGCGCTGGGAGCAATGGTCAGGGTTGAAGTTGTAAAAAATGGCAGATATGGGCTCATCGGACACCCGATATTTCACAGGAACGCGCGGAGTTTCTGCTTGTTCGCTTGCATGTTTAGAGTGATCTAATGGTTCACGTTTACTGTAGTACTGTACCAGGGGTTGTCAGTTATTACTTGGGAAATTAATAATTTACTTACCCACCACATTATCCATGACTTTCTACTTTAGAAACAATTGCTCATTATTTGGATTCAGTATAATTGCATTGATCTGTCTTGTGGGCACTGAATAGATCCATCATCCTGCCCCTAGCTTAGGCAATCATTGAATTCCCTTTTAAGCATAACTTACCAAGTGTAGAATTAATGAACTCCTTCCTGTTAATAAATAACTACCTTGTCCAGTCTCCCTTACTCCCAGGGTTCCGTTTTTGCGACTGTCCTTGATGTCACTCGATGCAGAATTTCTTTTTTCTATAGAATATAATTCAGAAGATGTCAACACTACTTTATTCAGAGTAGGCTGGATTTGATAGACATGATTCATTCCAAAACCAAAGTCAAATAATACAAACAAAAGGGAAAGGGATCAGTTAAGATACTGTATGTCCATCCACCCATTTCCTAAAGCTTAATCCAACACAGGCTTGCGGGGGGGAGCTGGAGCCTATCCCAGCAAGCAAGCAACAGGCATGGAGCAGGATACACCCTGGAAGAAGTGCCAGCCCGTAACGGGGCAGCCACAGACACAGACGGACACACACTCGCACCAGGGCGAGCTGTCGCAGAAGTCAGTGAACCCGCAAGTATGTCTTTGGGTTGTGGGAGGAAGCCGGAGCACCCAGAGAAAACCCACCCAAACGCGTGCAAACGAACTCCACACAGACCCCACTCCTGGCCAGAAACTGCGCTGTGAGGCAGCAGTGCTAACCTGTGTGGCCCTGTGCTGGCCTTGCTTGAGAGGTGTACCTGAGGTAGTTTAAGTCCTACAGTGCTGTGTTGCTTCTTATAGTCCTGAGAGAGAAACACCTTTGGTCTTGACCGTCCAGAAGTCACTCTAGGATGCCTCCCACCACAGAGCGCTTTGAGTTCAGTGCTATCGTCTTCAGTGACTGACTGTGCTAATCAAATTGTGCAATGTTTACAGACTTTAAGGTACTGCACTGTTTGCACTATGTGCTGTCTTGGCTGTATTATATCATCATTTGTGCCTATTTATTCCTCTCTCTAATGTTACTGGGTACAGCTGAACGAGTAAGCATTCCAATACACTTGTTGTATGTGGCAAATAAAAAAAAAAAATTGAATCTGAACAGTTGAAGGGATTTTTTTTATAGGTGTTTGTTGTGAATTCTTGAGGAATTTTAGGCAATGTTTGATCTGACTTTTTAAAAAAGAAAATAGTAATTTAAGCTCTTATGGTGTAATGACTGTGATTGAAGTGTTGAGCATCCTGTGTTGTTTAGTTTCCTGTTAGGCTCTGGGGGACTTCGTCAGTCAGCAGTGTGTGAAACCGCAGGCTTGGTTATCTAGAGGGGTGAAACGGCACAATAAGGGCCCAAGGGTGTATTCCCAGAGCCGGCCCCACTGCACCATACAGAGTAAGCTGGTACCTTTTCCCTGATGCTTAAAGAAATTATACATCTGAAGGTCTGTGAGACTGCGGCGTGTGCATCACTAAGGTTTGAGGTCCAATGCTCTACATTATATATGAGGTTTGCTATTTCTCAAGTGGTAATGTAAAAAAAAGGTTGGAGATGGTGTGCCAAAAAACCACAGTCCTTTGGAACCGACTTGCTGTGTTGACATCTGTGTTGTCCGACAGACTCACACGACTCTTGCTTCTTGCACGCCTACTGTAGTAGGAAGCAGGGGTCGGAGATTTGGGAGCTGCCAGTTTTGGATGCTGCATGAATTTGAGTGCCACAGTGTCATCAGTCTTCCCAGGGAGCCTGGCTGACCGTCCCTGTGCCCCAGCGCTCCAGGGAGGCCTGGCTGAGAGCAGTGGCTCTGACCTACTTCCCTGTGGGTGTTCTGTGGTTTGGAGGCCAGCAGCAATTGAGGTCACTGAGTGGAAGGCAGATCTGTGAGATCAGAACACGTTTACTGATGGCTCCTGCCCTTCGCTGATCTGACACAGTATTGAAGTCGGGATTGATTTGTTCTCCTTAGATGGGGGAGAAAGACGAGGCTGGGAATGATTAATGCACCAAATTAGGAGTTCGGCACAGTGCTCTTTACTATTTCAGGGTACAGTGGGAGCTTTTTAAGTCAAATAGGCATGACAAAAATCGGACTGGGACTGGAATCTGATTTTTGATCACTAAAATAAAGATGGGGTCAGGCAGAGACTAATTTTGGAAGATTACCAGGCATAAGCTGTAAACTGAAGAGGCTGTTCTTGATGTTTCCAGGCTTCGCCTAGTGATTCCAGCAGTTATTTCCATTGTGATCTTGGTCACAAGTGGAACAAGTGGCCTGCCTATTCCTTATTGCCTTCCTTCTTGTATAGGGAATCCTGATGTTCACCATTGTTTGCAATGACAGGTGCACGGTAGTTCATCTCCAACAGTTGTGACCAGATTCCTAACTGTGATGTAATTTGTGCCAGCGGGTAAAGCTAGCCCTATTGTGACAGAGACAGTTTGTAGTGTTGCTGCTGCTGTTAGAGATCTGGTGGGGAGTGGTTCTTGAGTTTTTTTTTTATAATGCTCTGTGCACTGTGAGAAAAATCATAACAACCAGCAAACGTGCAAAACTTACTGCTCCTCTGAAATGACATGTTTTGAGCAACAAGTGAAAGTCTGTGAGAAAAGCATAATAAATAAAACTGGTGTGTGTGTGTCTGGCACAGGCCATGAGATTTACATCTACACCTTTTCTGGTTTAATTTTAAAAAAAGTTTGCTAGCATGGAAAGCCACATCTGCTTGGGCATAGTAGTTTTTACAATCTGAGAACTAATTTTACATATTTTCTTCCTTACAGTAGGTAAAACAATTCACACAAAAACAAACTTATTGGGCTTATTCTTGCTTTTTCCTGCCTCCTTTTCAGGTATAATGTTCTAAGCTGTCAGCCTCTGGTCTTTAAACACCTCACTATTTCCTTTAAAAGTTATCCTGTAAAAATCTAAAGCATTCAGTTTCTACAGGATCTCAGTCATGCTTATTTTCAGTCTGATTGATGTTACACATCTGTTCTTGACCTCCCTTTTTCACTGCTCTGGCTGGTTTTCTAGATGAGAAATCTCTTTTGTGACCAGAGCTTTTTAAAAAATATTTAGATGAGAAAAACTGAATATTTTCATCACAACACCCTGGCCAGTGTTGTGGGCTTTAATGCAGTAAGGAAACGGAAGAAGTTTGGAATTTGAGGGTGGAGAATGTCTCAGGAACCTTGGTCTAGTTAGTCTAGTTAGCTTTTCTCTAGTGTTCTGCGAGTATAAACTGGCTTTTCCTCATTTTGTTTTGTAAATATGTCTCCCATTCAGAATGCTCTGTATTCAAAAGGGGTCCTTTTCAGTGCCCCAGTCTTTCTTAGCTGCTCTTTGCTCTCTGTGTCTCCCTCTCTCCCATCTCTTCTCTCCCTCCTGCATTTTCTCCCTCCTTTCCTTTCTCTTCAGCTGCTTTTCGGTGCCCCTTTCTCGTCATTGTTTTTCTTTTTCTCTTGCTCGAGACTCCCATTTTCTCCTCTTCCCCTATTCAGTGTTTTCTTTCTGCTCTCTCCTGAATAATCCCGATACTTCAAGCGCGGAGGGCTGAGGAGGGGGTTGGTTTCAGTCCCAGCTGTGGCAGAAAGTTTCTCTCCTCTTCAAGCAGAGAAACCCCCAGGCATTTGGCCACTGCACCCTTCTCCACACGGAGCTGCTCTTTCACACATACCCATGGTGCTAGGTGCAGGTTGTATTAGGTCTTCTGCTTTATTAAAGTATTGTTAAAGCAAAGCCCGTTATCTAGTGTGACTGGTGCTAGGGGCCCGAGTTTGGCCTCCCGGCTGGGAGCTGTCTTGCAGCAGGATGCCTTTTGAGTTTAAAAGAAGGCACAGATTGTACCCAAGTCTGAAAAAGACTTCAAGAACATTGTGTTCGGAGTTTGTCGATCAGTGGTGCTGACATTGGGCCATTCCAGTCAGCTCTGTGGCACGGTGTTGCTGTAACCATCAGCTTAATCATTCAGTTGAAAATTAACAGGACCAATATAGCAGTGAAAGAGCTGGTTGCGTCAAAGTAGTGCAGTGCGATTAGGGAAAAGTCACAAGTCCTGTCAGTGCTGGTTGGGTTCGAGTCCAACAACTCTTTGCAGCGGGCTTGTCCTGGAAATGTCTAGAACGCTTCTGGTCCTCTTTTCTGTTCCAGGAACCCAGCCAGCACTTGAAAGCTTTCACCCTCTCGTTCTCCAGAAGAAGGCTTCTGCTCGCCTGTAGATGGGCTCATCGCAGAAGGCCATACAATAGTATAGAAAAATGAACGGCGAGATTGCAGTAGTTTCTGGTGGTGGAAATGGGGGGGATCGAGCACTTAAAGGGTGATGGACAAAACTTTTTTTTTTATTCTCAAGAGCAAGAACCAAAACAATATGATGGAATGGCAGGTTTGAAGGGGAGAGAAAGGTGAAAGGCAGATGAAAGAGAGGAGAGATAAAAGCAGGAGCGAGGGAGGGTGTGGGACAGTGGAGGAGGAAGGGAGGCAGAGATGAAAGAGAACCCGGAAAGATAAGAACGGAGTGAGAGGGAGATGGTAGGAGAGATAGTGTACGGAGCAGAGAGAGATGTAACCATGGAAACAAGAGGCCGGTACAAAGAAGGAGGAGACAAAAGGATTCTGATGAAAAAGAATGAAACTTAGGGGAAAGAAAGAGAATCGGGATGAGTGTAGCTGAAATGTGGATGACTGGAGAAAAAATACAAAGAGGGAGAACACTCTG